TATGTTGATATTTTTAAAACTGCTTGTATTCTCAGGTTCTCGCTAGACATGTATCGCGCCTTCGTTTGGAGAAGTCGGAGCGTGCAGAAGTCTCGTCTTTACTTTTGTTATTCTGATGTATATATAATATATGTATTACCTTGCTTTCAAACAAATATAAATATTCCTATGTAATATAATGGCTTTGTTTACTATGCTATCTATGTACATTGGTTGTGATACTTTCCATGACGTCCTTCTCCACGGAACGTTTCCGCCATCGGTTTCGGGGTGTGACACACACACACACACACACACACACACACACACACACACACATATATATATATATATATATATATATATATATATATATATATATATATATATAAGAGTCCATATGTAATTAGTTCCTATTGATCACTTAATAAATTCTAAATTAATTATTGATCAATGATAATTAAATCATATGATTCCATGTTAATATATTAGAACTTATAATATATTAATATAAATCATAAATATACTAGTCTCAAAAAGGCTATCCATATAAATTGTGTCGGTGAAGTGCAACCCAAATGAACCATGCCGTGTCCGGTCAAGTACATACCAAATATATTTATGGACATAGACATTAATCCAACATTAAGACCCATCCTAGAAGTATGAGCCCTAACCCTAGCTCAAAATGGCTTAGGTCCAACTTCAAAAACCATTAAAATTTCAAGATAAGCCATAGGATCATAAATTTGGACTCTAGGGACAGTTTGGTCACATAAAGCTCCTATCTTTACTTGCATGCATAGACTACTTGGCTTAAAAGTCCAAAAATACGGTCCACTAGTTGCATGGGGCTTCCATGGCTGTAAAGTTGGCACCTTTATGACATGCAGTCCCCTAAAGACCCTAGATCTGAAAGGTTCGCACACATGAAACATCCAAGTCCTAAAGATCAACATTCTTGGACCAAAATATGGAGAAAACATCCTAAAACTAGATCTAAACATTCTATAGAAAATATAGGAGCTTTATACCTTAGATGAGCCAAAAATGAAGCTAAACTTCTGGATCTACTTTCCTCCTACACGTCCTTGATCCTTCTTCAGGAATCTTCTTCATGAACCGGGCGTTAATTATCTCCCCCACTTATTTCAGACTTCATCCTTAAAATCTGATGCGTCCGAAAATAGCTCTGGGTAGTCCTCCCTCATCGCATCCTCCAGCTCCCATGACCATTCCGAGCCCTTGTGGTGCTGCCATTGCACCTTTACCAACTCTACCTTCTTGTTCCCCAGATCCTTCATCTTCATATTGTGGATGGCTACCGATCTCTCGATGTAGTTTATACTGTCATCCACTTGAATATGCTTTAAAGGTACCACTACGAAATCATCTACTAATCACTTCCGCAGCTGGGAGACATGAAAGTTGTTGTGGATCTGACTAAGCACGACTAGTAGATCCAGTGGATATGCAACCTGGGCCATTAACCTGAATAGATCAATGTATCTGGGGCCCAATTTTCCCTGCTTCCTGAACCGGATGACACATTTCCATGGTGACACTTTCAATAGGACCATATATCCTACGTGAAACTCCAAGTCTGATCGGCATCTGTTGACATAGCTCTTCTGTTCACTCTAGGCCATTTGGAGTCTACTACGGACCTACTCGATCTTCTCCATCGTCTTCAACACCACCTCAGTACTCACCATGTCTATGTGCCCAACCTCACCCCAAAATATCGGGGTTCTATACTTCCACCCATAAAGCATCTCGAAGGGAGAACGGTCGATACTGGCATGGTATCTATTATTGTAGAAAAATTATGTCTGGGGAAGGTAGGTATCCCAGCTACCACCAAAGTCTAGAACGTATGCCTCGAGCATACCCTCCAAGGGTTGGAGGGTTCGCTCGCTCTAACCATCCGTTTACGGGTGAAAGTTGTGCTAAAGTGCAGACGAGTACCCAACTCGTCATGAAATTTCTTCGAGAATCTGGAAGTGAATCGCACATCTCAGTCAGAAATCACTAAACTGGCACCTCGTGTCGAGCTAATACCTCCCTGATGTATATGTCGGCTAGCTTCTCAGCTGAAATGCTCTCCTGGATCAGAATGAAATGGGCACTCTTGGTCAACCAATCAATGATTACCCAAATCAAATCCACTCCCCGTGCGGTCCTGGGAAGCTTCACGATAAAATCCATAGTAATATCCTCCCATTTCCACACAGGGATATCCAACAGTTGCGTCTTTCCGTGAGGTCTCCGGTGCTAGGCATTGACCTTCGTGTAGGGCAAGCACCGCTCCACGTACCAAACTATATCCCGCTTCATGCACGGCCACCATTAACCAGGGCGAAGATCCTGATACATCTTCGAAGCCCCGGGATGGATGGAGAACCTTGACTTGTGGGCCTCAACCATCATTACATGGCGTACCCCACCCTAGTAACGAACCTATACCCTCCGAGGCAGGTAAAATAATCCACAACTATCATAATCAAATGAGACCACCTGGCCCACGATTTGCTCATATTTCCGATGCACTTCCTTCATACCCTCAACCTGTGCCTCCTGAATCCACTTCAAAAGCAGAGACACTGCTGTCATCCTTAGGTAGATGTCTCAGATCGGGGTTGTGAATACCTTACGGCTAAGTGCATCACCTTATGTTTAGATTTGGCTGGTCCATCAGATACCTCAGGATCTTATGGTTTGTGTAAATGGTACAATGAACCCCATAGAGGTATCATCACCAAATCATGAGGGCGAAAACAACTGCCCCCAAATACAGGTCATGTATCGTGTATTTTGCCTCATGAGGCTGCAGCTGCCTCAAGGCGTAGGCGATGACGTGCCTCCTTTACATCAACACTGCCCCCAAACCTGATATGTATGCATTACAGTACACTACAAAATCCTTAACGCCCTCTGGTGGGGCTATGATCGGCGCTTCACACAATCTCTACCTCGAAGTCTCAAAGGCTGCTAGCTGCTCAGGCCCCTAGCAAAAGACAAAAGCCTTCTTCGTTAGTCGAGTCAGTGGTACCGCTATCTTGGAGAAATCCTGGATGAATCTCTGATAATAGCCTGCTAAATCAAGAAAACTCCAAATCTTAGATAGAGACTTCAGAACCTCTCATCTCGTCATGGCCTCCACCTTGGACGGGTGGACCAAAATACCGTTCTGGTTGCCAACATACCCCAGAAACTGCAAATCTCACAACCAGAACTCGCACTTGGCGAACAAGATCTCCCTACTCAGGGTATCCAACACCTCTTGCAAGGGCTATGTTCCTCCTGCATATTGGAATAAACCAATATATCATCAATAAAAACTATCATAGACCGATCCATCATCGGTCTGCATACGCGATTCATGAGATCCATGAATGCGTGAGGAGCATTGGTGAGCCCAAATGGCATCACCACGAACTTATAGTTGCAATAGCGAGTCCGAAACACTCTCTTCTACACATCCTCATCTCTGACACTCATCTGATGGTATCCTGATCACAAATCAATATTTAAAAACCTAGATGCTCCCTGAAGCTGGTCGAAGAGCTCGTTAATCCTCGGGAGTGGGTAAGCGTTCTTCGTCGTTACCTTATTCAGTTCCTGGGAATCTATACACATCCGATGTGACCCTTCCTTCTTCTTCGCAATAGGATCGGGGGACCCCAAGGCGAATTGCTCGGCCTGATAAATCCCTTTTATAACAGCTCTTGCAGCTGTGTCGACAACTCCTGCATATCGGGGGAGCCAACCGGTATGGTGCCTTGGCTATCGGAGCCGCACCCAAAACTAGGTAAATCCTGAACTCCACCTATCTGTCCAGAGGTATCCCAGGCAACTCCTTCGGGAACACATTCGGATACTCCCGTACAACTAACACATGACTCATGGTCGCCTTACCCTTCCTCCGGTTATCCATCACATAGACTACATCACCTGTGCAACCCTGTTGAAGGTAATGCCTAGCCCACTACTAGAAAAAAGGCCTTTTACGATGCGCAAAATACGACGCTCATTGATCTATGTTACGCAAAGGAGAGTGACATTAGAAAAATGTCATCTCTTCAAAAAATTTAAGGATAGAAGACATGCATTATTGGGCGCCCTTAAATTAGTGTCTAAAAAAAACACGGAGGGCACCTATAATAAAATGTGCGTCGTCTAAGGATGTCGCTTTATAATTTTTAATGGAACGCGCGTTCCATCCTTTAACAGTAGGGGGAAATGAAATTCTGAAAAAATTAAAAATCTCGCCTTCCTTTTTTTTCTCCTTTCCCTCTTGCCCAAATTATGGACGCTCCTTCCTTCCCCCTCCCGACACTGCTGCCTACTTCTTCCCTCACTTCTACCTACCGGAACCACCATATCTCCCACTCGATGTTGAAATTGTTAGAAAAAGCCCTAATTATACACTCCACTAGATTGGGCTCTCATTAATTGGAAATCTGCGCTGAATTTCTTTCTACCCATGGACACGATTTTCAATAATGCGATAACAAAAACGATTACGAGCCATGAGAGAGCGTACACTAAGATTGATTTATCGTTTTGGACGACTTTGAGGTGGTAAACGATACTGTATTGGTAAATGAAGAATCGGAGAGAAAGGAGGATTTCCGTCAGACGACCGACTGTACCGGTGGATCGGAGGTGGTCCTGTTCTTCCTCCCACCACGATTCCTAGCTTTTGTTCGCCGGAACACCGATTCCACCGTGGTTTCTGATCCATGCTGACCAGTCGTCCCAGTCTTCAACGATTTTCTGCCCTTCTTCAATCTTGAGTACACGGTGTGTGCTTATTTTTTCTGCTCAAATCCCAACTTCCACTTCAGATTTACAGTATTTTTCTATATTTTTTTCTTCATAAACATGCTGATTTATCCCATTCTATACCTAAACTTTGATGTTATGAATAGGGTATCAATAGGGCTAGGGTGGAGCAAATGGAAGACCGGTTGAAGGAAAGTTATGAATAGGGTATCAATAGGGCTAGGGTGGAGCAAATGGAAGACCGGTTAAAGGAAGACATATTGCTAGAAGCTGCAAGGTATTCTTTTTAACATGTTTTTGTGTTTGATATCCATTTTCTTATCATCTCAATACCTATCTCGATTACAGATATGGAAATAAGATCCTAGTAACTGATGAACTACCAGATGGTCAAATAGTGGATCAATGGGAGCCAGTCACACCGACTCTGTCAAAACATCACTACAGGTTCACCATACTATGAAATTAAATGTTCATTTTGAATATCTGTTTCATAATTCCTTTCACTATTGTAGGTCTATTTAGAAATCCAAACAAGAAAATTCCTTGTTGACTACGAACGCATTCCAGCAACAGATGAAAAATCACCCAAGGAACATGATTTTGATACGTTGGTGAGTGTTATTTTCATTTAACAAAATGAAAATATTTAACTTAGATTATACTTTATATATGATTTGTGTTTTATGATCTTTATAGGTTGATAGAATTTCAAGAGCTGATCTTAAGACAGAAATAATCTTTAACTGCCAAATGGGGCATGGGCGTATTACCACAGGGATGGTCATTGCCACATTGATCTATTTAAATCGAATAGGAGCTTCTGGTACTTTTTTTTGTCTCTGTGAAGTTTATGTTTTATGATTGCATGCTTTTACAGTATGCAAATGAACCTTTTTCCTTATAAATTTCCCATTACAACAACATTCTTGAGGCCTGGGTAGACCCGTCTTTTGGCACAACATGAGAGAAGAACCTGTTATTTACATTAATGGAAAGCCCTTTCTGCTTCGTGAGGTTGAAAGACCCTAGAAAACATGCTCGAGTATACGGTATATACTAATAATCCTTCTCATTTTTAATGTTTATTATTTAAATATACTCAAGTGTCAAGTGGTTTAATGTAGGGAATTTACTGTGAAAGAGTGGAGAGAATGGAAGCTCGACTGAAAGAAGATATTCTCAAAGAACCTGAACGTTATGGATGTAAGGTATCTACCTGATACCTTGCTGCAACCTTGTTGCCTAAGAACAGAAAACAAAACAGAGCAGGAAGAAAAAAAGGAAAAAAAAACTACATGGCTGGCAACAGGTGATAACAGGGGAAGAAAAAGATGGGATTTTTTATTTTGCTTGGTGGAAAAGAAAACTTTTATTGCTGAAAAACTTCTTTCTAAATACCTATAACGTAGCATATTTATACTAAAAGAAAAAGAGTTTGACTCATAGTCTAAAACCGGGAAACAAAAATAATAAAAGCATTTTCCTAAAATGCCCCTGTGGGCTTTTTCCTGAATTACGCCAACAATGGAGGTGATATTATGGCAATTCACGAACTACAATCATATTTTATTACAAAAACTTAATTAAATTGGAACTTTCCCAACATACCCCTGAGGCTATTTTTGTCCCCAATTCTCAGGGGACGGAATAATGATGGATGGTCAAGCTAAAATTTGGTTTTGAATTTAATTTGGTATAAAAATGACAGGTTTGATAATGGTAGATGGTCAAGATACAAGAACTTTTCAAGTCCATTTGGAATATTACACTACAGATAATATTCTCTCTTTATTTCAGAACTTCTTACTTCTTCGTCTTATTAACTTTTTCATCTTATAATATGTTTGGATGCTGCTACATTTTAATACTGTCTGGAGTATATTATATTTGTTATTTGTGATAATAGCAGCTGGTTTTGTTTGTGATGGGATTAGTGTAAATTTTTGTCTGTTTTGTTGTTTTCTGGATGATAGCTAGGTACCTAAAGCATTGTTTAAAGGTGGATCAGTAGTCTACATGTCATTGCATGTCATTGCATTCTCACTGTTACCTATCAAAGTACTGAGGTAAATATTATGATTTTTTATATTAATTTTCTTACTTTCTAAAATTATTAGTGTTTTTTTTCTGAGTTATGATTGAAAAACAGTGAACTAGGGTAAATTTTATGAATTATGATATTAGTTTCTGAAAATATATAATTAGGGCATCATTATGTCTTATTGCCCCGGGCAACATATTTCTTTGGACCGGCCCTGGGTCCTTGCATTGCAATTGCCTATTTATCGGTTCTAAAGGACTGTGAGATTCATTGCTTTCATGAAGGATTGGAAGTCAAACGACTTGGTGGTCTCCATGTCATTGGGACATCTTTGCATGAGTCCCGAAGAATTGATAATCAGGTAACTTTGCATCAGTATTGTGTTTTAAGGTTTTACATAAATTTAGCATATACTTTCAGACTCACTTTTTTAATTTATTTCTTGCTTTACAAAGCTTCGTGGCAGAGCAGGAAGGCAAGGAGATCCTGGATCAACACGCTTCATGGTCAGGTAAGTTCATTTAAATGATTTTTATAAAGTTTAAAGTCAATCCTTTCATCTGGACAAAATTCTTCATGTTAAATTACGTAATAGTCCTTGGAGTAGTTGACATGAACAATTTTTTTTTGTTAGAATGATTCCATATATATGTGCAAGCAAGCACATGCCTTGTGAAAAAGGGAAATCTATTCTAGTCATTCTCTTTAACAAGGCAACCTTAAAGTTGATTTTTTAAACCTGATGTTTAAAACTACATTGAGTGTGAGATAGAAGTTTATGCAGAGAAGGAAAAAGATAGAAGTTTTTGAGGATGTTGCTGATGAAAAAGATAGAGGTTCTTTAGGATGCTGCTAATGAAGTTTATGCAGAGAAGGAAAAAGATAGAAGTTTGTTGGCACATAGTAAGCTAGATAATTAATGCAATTGTATATAAATGAGTTCATTTTTTTATAACATTTACTCACTATTGGAATAATTATTTGTATTTGACATATTAGTGAAATGAATTATATTTGTTATTTATGGTATTTTATTTATTATTATGAGATTTCTAATGTATTATTTAATATGAAAAACTAGTAAATCTATAAAGAATATTTTTTTAAAACATTTAAAATTATGATACGCAAAAATGTGTGTCATCTTTATTTATGACATGGCCTTTCTTGACAGGGGCTTCCTTGATACGCATTGCGTGTCATAAACACGCGCGTCGTAAGGTTACAACACGCAAATGCGTGTCGTCTTCCTTTATGATAGGGCCTTCCTTGATACGCATTGCGTGTCATAACCGCGCGTCGTAAATGTGCATCATAAATGCGCGTCGTAAATGCGCGTCGTCTATAGACGACACGCAAAAGCGCGTCATCTCTCTTTATGACAGAGCCTTCCTTGACACGCATTTGCGCGTCGTCTGAGCGTTTTACGACGCGCAATGAGCGTCGTAAAAGGCCTTTTTTCTAGTAGTGGCCTTCACTGCGGAACAAAAAATTGACCCATGTTGCGGCCTCTCACCCACAATCACCAAATCTACCCCACTTGGGGTCCTGACACAAACTAACTGTTGCTCATAGTCGATCATCCCCCCATTAGGGCTCAACCAATCCATGCCTATGATGACGTTGTTCCTACATAAAGGTATGGGAACCAAATCCTCGAGGTAACGCTCATCATACACCCTTAAGGCACAATCTCTATAAACCTCTGAGGCCCGGACGGATCGGTCGTGTGCAATCTTGACCTCCAAAGCACAATCCAACATGCTTGAAGACTCAGCAAGTCTCGTGCTGAGTGTAAGGGATAATAATGATCGGGCAACCCCCGAGTCAAATAATACATGTATTGGGATGCCGTTCACATGGAACGATCCTAAACAAAACACCTAGAATATAAATATCAAAACTGACATGCAATAGACGTTAGGAAGAAGAAACATACCCATCACCACATCAGGTGTGGCATGCGCCTCCTTAGCGGTCAGCTAGAAGGCTTGGCTCCTCACCACTGGAGCATATGTCTTGCCCTGTCGGCTAACTATAATCTGCAGGGTTGCTAGAGCTGGTGGCGCCACTAACGATGCTGATACCAATCTTAGGAAGTTGGCATTTTTATGGTCCTTCTGATTGCAATGGAAGCAAATCAAGTCTTATGTCTGAAGGGTTGGGGTAGGGGCTGCATAATCCCTGGTATAATCCTTGCCAAAGTGCCCAAGCTTTCCACACTTATAGCAGCTCGATCTCCTTGATCTGCAAAATTCCTCATGCGTCTTGCTGCATTTCCCACAACGACTTTGGCCCTGCTGTCCCTTTGACCTAGAGTCGGATCCCTTAGGTTTCTTCTTAGAAGCCCCCGTCATCTTCCAAGTCTCCTCCTTCCTCATCCTGATGTGCTCTATATCAATCTTCCTCTCCCTTTCCCTCGCTATCATGTCATCCAAAGTCACGCATGCCGAGTAGCTAACATACTTCCGAATGTCAGCTCTCAACATGTCATGGCACTGGGTTTTCTTCATCTTCTCATCACCCATGTACTGAGGCACCAATAAGGCCCTCTCCTTAAACTTGGCGACAATCTCTGCCACTGACTCAGTAGTTTGTCTCATATTCAAGAACTCCCTGGCTAGCTGTTGAATCCCCATAGTCGGTGCAAACTAAACTCGAAATCTAGTCACAAAGTCCGACCAGGTCATAGCCTCAATGGCTGGGGATTCTAATGTATCGTTGACGGCCTCCCACCAGTGTCTGGTTTGCTGGCTCAAACAACCAGCAACAAACCTGACCTTCGACCCCTCAGGGCAAAAGCTCGTCACCTACACATACTCATTGTCTCCGATACATTGTCTCGCCACAATGGGGTCCTTTACCCCCACTGAAGTCTGGCGCCCTGCATCCCCTGAAATCCTTGAAGGCGAGCGTGATATTACTTGACTGGCCAGGTGCCATGTCACTCTTGAATTGCCTAAAATGATCCTCCATCAGCTCAATGATACCCTCCTTGATCGAACCGAAAATTTCTGGGGTCATCTAAAGGATGCCTCTCATAATCTCGGATGAATTTTGAGTACGGATCCTCTGTTTTCAGTAGTACGTGCTCATACTACCTTCTGCATCGATCCGTACATTCCTCAAGAATTGCCTTGACTCCACCAAGTCCCTTTCACTTCTACTGCTCTCCGTGCTAATCTCATCCTAGGCTAATCCTAGTGTAGTATCCGACCCACTCTCCGCCATCAATTGCATAAGAAGTCCCTGCTACTTCTCCTTAACTAGCTTGCGAATACCATTCCATATTACTAAGACCAGATAATTCTTCGAATGACATGTCTGTCCCCACAACGGTTAGACTTAAATGAGAGCTGCGAAATAGGGATAAACCTAACCTTCTAAAATTATTTAGTCTTCATAATGTGTAACTTAACATATTCATTTACTAGTTAGTTAAATATAACTAGGAATCCTAAAAGCACAAAGCAAGTATCATTCGGACATTGAGTAACCTGAACCAAGCATATCATAATCAAGGTATCTCACCACTGACTAGTCAATACTATCATAGAGTTCAATAAGCATATATAACACACATAAGGCATCTTCCTAGATCCTCAGCCCAAATTTAGCATACAGTTGTTATACTTATACAGTAGGCATATAAGGCATCCTTCCTTGATCCTAAACCTTAATCTAGCATGCAGTTCTCATAATCATATCATATATCATAGCAACCATGTATAGGTATCTTGGGGAAAACTTACTTGAGCTCAACCAATTGCACGCATCACACTCCTTCTTCTTCAAAAATCTTATTTTAATTCTTAGAAAAAATATTTTTATTGTAAAAATTTTCTCTAACCCTAGATTTAAGTCCAGACACCCCTGATGGTGTGTCCGACTCCATCAAACCAAGGCTCTGATACCAACTTGTAACATCCTAAAATTTAAGACAAAAAATTTCATTTTTATAATCAATAATTGTAAAACCATTTGTCTTAAAACATCCATAATATCAACTCATATCAAAACCCATGTATCAATAGTCATAATATGTCATGATAAAAACAACATCAGATTATAAATCCCAAAGATCTCATGTGCGGAAAATGTAGTGTGATGCGTTGCGATCATGCAGAATCCTTTCCCTTCGAATAGGAAGTACCTGAAACCTAAATTGAAAACCGTGTGCAAAAAGATTAGTGAGCTCCCCCATCATTCCAAATACCATACAATAATATACTACCTAGCATATTCGGGTGTTGGCCTACCCCTTTGGTCTCTTTCAACCGTTAAATGCCTAACATATCAGGGTGCTAGCCTACACCTGTGGTCTCTTTCAACTGGTAACTGCCTAGCATATCAAGGTGTTGGCTACCCTTTGGGCCTCTTTCAACTAGTAAGTACCTAGCATATCTGGTTGTTGGCCTACCCCTTCGGTTTCTTTCAACTGGTAATTCGGGAGTAGTTTACCCCTACCACTATCACATGTCATCATAATACATAAACACATAAGTTACATACTTCCTATCATATCTGGGTACTCGCCTACCCCTTCGGTTCTTATAACTGGTAAAGGTGTCTATCCTACCCCTCCTACCACTATCATATAATATCATAGCATACTATCGCATAAAGCATAATAAATTGTGGCATACCAGACAATTATCACAAAGACAATCATCTCAACTATAATCAACTACTAGTGGGCCTGCATTGGTGTCTTCGATCCACTTATATTGGAAGGTAACTCACCTCAAATGCTGTAAAGTAGCTGGAAATCCTCGGCTCTGGCAATCCACCCAACTGAAATTCCTATACATAAAGGATTTCCTTAATTACCCTTTCATACTCATGACCCCTTAAGGGTCATGTGACAACCCGTGATTTATTCCATCACCGTATCTCGTATCCGTTAATAAAGCCGTTAAGTTCCAAAAAATTTCCGTTATCTTTGTTTTAAAATAAATTATTGTGACTTCTATTTAGGTTTTAAAAATGTTGGGATACATTTTAAAACATTAAAATATTTTCTAATTCATTTAGAAAATATTTAGTTTCATCTAAGTCGTAATTACGGTAACTTAATCGGGTACGACTAAAAGCCCCGTTGTACATCAGTATCGGGTAGAATTCCACCGGGTCTCAAACCCAACCTCTATATAAAGGTTGAGTGGACAACTTTTGAAGACTTTTTCCCACTTCATAACTTTCTCTCACTACTCTCTCTCTCTAGAACCCGAAATTGATCCCAAAAACCCCTTTCAAGCTTCATTTTGGTAAGCAATCTATCCTAACTTGTTGTTTAACTTGATAGGTATGCTAATTCATCTTTGAATCATCCAAAACACCCATAAACATGTGTTTACGGTGTGGGAACCCTCCCAAAACCGTGAACTCCTCTAAAGAGGGTTTTAAAGCCCCAAAACCCCTTCAAATCACTTCTAGTCCTTAGATAAGACCTTTGGACTTGGATGCATGAGCTTATGACCTCAAAATCGTACCAAATGATGTATCGACATGATAT